TTCATGGTTTGAGTGATAGCTTTGCGGATTGTATAGTCGGAGTAACCATTAGCCTTAAGAGCTTGGTGTACGTGCTTGAGTTCACTGCCTATGTGTTCCTGGTCGGATATGCATTGGGCTCTATGGTGCAGAGTCTTGATGAGAGAATTCTTCTGTGATGGATGGTGGAAATCCGGTTTCAGATAAGCATCCGTATAGGTAGCTTTCCTGTAGACAGAGTGGCTCATTGAACCATCAGGTCTCTTTTTTATTAGGACATCCAAAAAAGGTAGCTTGCCATCTTTTTCGACTTCCATGGTAAATCTGATGGCTGGGTGTATGGAATTGATGTGGTCGAAGAATTGGTCTAGAGCAGGCCGGTCATGTGGCCAGATGACAAAAGTGTCATCCACGTACCTCTTCCATAAGGTTGGGCGCAGAGTGGCAGTCTGGATGGCGTCAGTCTCAAATTTCTCCATGAAAATGTTGGCTTTAACCGGAGATAGGGGGGAGCCCATTGGGGTGCCCTCAGTTTGTTTGTAGAAAGTTCCATTCCAAGTGAAGTATCTATTGGTTAAGCAGTGTCTCACCAGGGGGGTACCTCAGTGTTTAGTCCTTGATGAACCAAGTCTTCAATGATTGCGATGGTGTCAGGTACAGGAACTTTAGTGAATAAGGAAACTACATCAAAACTGACAAGCAGGTCGTCTGGGGACAGGGAAATTCCCTTGATTGTCGATTCCAGGTGAGTAGAATTTTGTACTGCAGAGATGTTTTTTTCAGTGAAAGGCCGCAGGATTTCAGACAGAAAACGAGCCAGTTTGTAGGTGGGGGAGTTGATAGTTGAGACGATGGGACGAAGGGGTGTATATACTTTATGTGTTTTTGGTAAGCTGTATAATCTTGGTGGCCTGGCAGCAGAAGGTTTCAATTAAATCTGTTTAGTTTGATCAATGAATGCAGTTGAATCATAAATTATTTTGTTGGTTTGTGTGACGAGGCTGTTGGTGGGATCTCTTTTTATTTTTGTATAGCTGCCATCGTCGAGTAATTCTTTAATTTTGTTGTTATATTCTATTTTATCCATGATGACAGTAGCATTGCCCTTGTCGGCTGAGAGGATTACAATGTGATCCCTCTTTTTTAATTTATATAATTCAAAACGCTCATCTTTGCTGAGGTTGCTAGCTGGCATCTTAGCGTTTTTGAGGGTTGCAGCGATTTCAGATCTTGCTACGTCTACAGCGATGTGACCCAGGCCCTTGAGAGCCACGTCTATTTGGGCAATGATATCATTAACTGGTATGTGTTTAGGTGTGACTGCAAAGTTTAGACCTTTAGCTAAAACGAATTTCAGACCATCGGAAATAGAACTGTTACTGCGATTAATTACGACTTTGTTAACGTCTAGCTTTTTGGTGTGTGGGTCCGGTCCTTGTTGTAGACGAGGTTAAATTTGGAAATCATTTTGTCCTTACATTTGGTCGACATAGTAGCAGCTGAAGAGGCAGTCATATTGTCTACATGTTCCCAATCCGATGTGGACATTGTTGCCATCAATGATAAGTGTGATAAGTGTCTTGTCTAACTGATCTAGTCACATCGCTGCAGACGTAGCAAGATCTGAAATCGCTGCAACCCTCAAAAACGCTAAGATGCCAGCTAGCAACCTCAGCAAAGATGAGCGTTTTGAATTATATAAATTTAAAAAGAGGAATGACATTGTAATCCTCTCAGCCGACAAGGGCAATGCTACTGTCATCATGGATAAAATAGAATATAACAACAAAATTAAAGAATTACTCGACGATGGCAGCTATACAAAAATAAAAAGAGATCCCACCAACAGCCTCGTCACACAAACCAACAAAATAATGTATGATTCAACCGCATTAATTGATCAAGCTAAACAGTTTTCGTTGAAACCTTCTGCTGCCAGGCCACCAAGATTATACGGCTTACCAAAAATACATAAAGTAGATACACCCCTTCGTCCCATCGTCTCTACTATCAACTCCCCCACCTACAAACTGGCTCGTTTTCTGTCTGAAATCCTGCGGCCTTTCACTGGAAAAACCACCTCTGCGGTACAAAATTCTACTCACCTGGTATCGACAATCAAGGGTTTTTCCCTGTCCCCAGACGACCTGCTTGTCAGTTTTGATGTAGTTTCCTTATTCACCAAAGTTCCTGTACCTGACACCATCGCAATCATTGAAGACTTGGTTCATCAAGGACTAAACACTGAGGTACCCCCCTGGTGAGACACTGCTTAACCAATAGATACTTCACGTGGAATGAAACTTTCTACAAACAAACTGAGGGCACCCCAATGGGCTCCCCCCTATCTCCGGTTATAGCCAACATTTTCATGGAGAAATTTGAGACTGACGCCATCCAGACTGCCACTCTGCGCCCAACCTTATGGAAGAGGTACGTGGATGACACTTTTGTCATCTGGCCACATGGCCAGCCTGCTCTAGACCAATTCTTCTACCACATCAATTCCATACACCCAGCCATCAGATTTACCATGGAAGTCGAAAAAGGTGGCAAGCTACCTTTTTTGGATGTCCTAACAAAAAAGAGACCTGATGGTTCAATGAGCCACTCTGTCTACAGGAAAGCTACCCATACAGATGCTCATCTGAAACCGGATTCCCACCACCATCCATCACAGAAGAATTCTCTCATCAAGACTCTGCACCATAGAGCCCAATGCATATCCGACCAGGAACACAAAGGCAGTGAACTCAAGCACGTACACCAGCTCTTAAGGCTAATGGTTACTCCGACTATATAATCCGCAAAGCTTTCACTCAAACCATGAAGAAGTACCCTCTTGAGGAGCCTTTCAAAACCATCACTTTACCCTACATTGCGGGGATCACAAAAAAGATCTCCAAAATCTTAAATAAACACAAGATCCAGGTCCGTTTCAACACATTACATAAAATCCGTGATCTGGTTCCGTCTGTAAAAGATGTGATTCTGGACATACAGTTGCCTCTGTGGTAGTAGTTACGTTGGAGAAACCGAACGACATGTCTCGGACCGCATTTGTGAACACAAAGCAGACCTAAACACGGTAGGACCAACACCTCGGCCGTGGCAGATCACTGTTATAATTCAGTAGGCTCACATGACATTGACTTCTCCAAGACAGAGGTTCTTTGCAAGCCATCTGGCTACCATGATAGATTCGTTCATGAGCCTATCCACATATACAAACACAGAGACAATTTCAACCGAGAAGATGGATTCTGGCTTAGCAATCATTGGAAGGATTTGATAAACCATTTAGGGTCTTAATTGATTGTTCACGCTTACGGTGGCTTTCAGACAGCATACATTAATTTTTCGTCTCCCCCCTCCTCTTTTCCGAACATAGATGGACTCGTGTTCTTGGTTCTTTCGGTGGAGTCACGTTGAGGGGAGGCAATAAAATAATAAAATATATATGTTTTGTTGTTTTGTTGTTTCCCTTCGGCGTGGCTTTGCCGAAAGAACCAAGCATATGAATCACTGTAGTCACGAAAGCTTTAAATAAAAAAATAGATGGACTCGTCCATCTAAACAAACTATCAAATCGCTCTCCGTGGTGCTAACGTTAATACATAAATAAATACAAACCGCCACTTCTTTCAAATGTTCTTGCCGTTGGGTTTCACACCTGCTGATGACTGCTTGTGTTGCAGTCGAAACGTCGTGAGAATTTTATTGTTTTATATATATTTTATTATTTTATTGTTTCCCTTCAACGTGACTTTACCGAAAGAACCAAGAATATGAATCACTGCAGTCACGAAAGCTTTAAATAAAAATTCGATTTGAAGCATTTTTTTTGGGGGGGGGGGAGGGGGCAGAGCTTTGTGACGCCCGTACGAGCACACACAGCTCACACTCACAGCTCACACACACAGCTCACACTCACACACACAGCTCACACACACAGCTCACACACACACAGCTCACACTCACACACACAGCTCACACTCACACACACAGCTCACACTTACACACACAGCTCTCACACACACACACAGCTCACACACACAGCTCACACACACACAGCTCACACACAGCTCACACTCACACACACAGCTCTCACACACACACAGCTCACGCACACCGCTCACACAGCTCACACACACACAGCTCACACAGCTCACACACACAGCTCACGCTCACACTCACAGCTCACACACACACAGCTCACACACAGCTCATACACACATACAGCTCACACACACACACAGCTCGCACACACACAGCTCACACACACACACAGCTCTCACACACAGCTCACACTCACACACACAGCTCACACAGCTCACACTCACAGCTCACACACACACAGCTCACACTCACACACAGCTCACACACACAGCTCACACTCACACACACAGCTCTCACACACAGCTCACACACACAGCACTCACACACAGCTCACATTCACAGCTCTCACACACAGCTCACACTCACAGCTCACACACACACACATATCACACTCACAGCTCACACACACAGCTCTCACACACAGCTCACACTCACAGCTCTCACACACACAGCCCTCACACAGCTCACACACACAGCTCTCACACAGCTCACACACACAGCTCTCACACACAGCTCACACACACAGCTCACACTCACACAGCTCTCACACACACAGCTCACACACACACAGCTCACACACACAGCTCACACACACAGCTCACACACACACAGCTCTCACACACACACAGCTCTCACACAGCTCACTCACAGCTCACTCACACACAGCTCTCACACACACAGCTCTCACACACACAGCCCTCACACACACAGCTCTCACACACAGCTCACACACACACAGCTCTCACACACAGCTCACACACACACAGCTCTCACACACACACAGCTCTCACACAGCTCACTCACAGCTCTCACACACACAGCTCTCACACACACAGCTCTCACACACACAGCTCTCACACACACAGCTCTCACACACACAGCTCTCACACACACACAGCTCTCACACACACACAGCTCTCACACACACACAGCTCTCACACACACACAGCTCACACACACACAGATCTCACACACACACACACAGCTCACACCCACAGTGACACGCAGGGAGGGTCTGGTGCGTGTCGCCATGTCCACGTCTCCTGCCTCCTCCGTCCTCGCCACCATCAGGCAGCGGCTGGAGCCGCTCGGATTCGAGTGCCACGGCTTCCAGGTGAAGAGTGCAGCACACACACACGCGGTGCAGCACACACACACGCGGTGCAGCACACACACACGCGGTGCAGCACACACACACGCTGTGCAGCACACACACACGCTGTGCAGCACACACACACGTGTTGCATCATACACACACGCGGTGCGCGTAGCGCGGTGCAGTACACGTGGTTGGTGGCACACCAGTGCAGTACACGTGGTTGGTGGCACACCAGTACACGTGGTTGGTGGCACACCAGTACACGACACGTGGTTGGTGGCACACCAGTGCAGTACACGTGGTTAGTGGCACACCAGTACACGACACGTGGTTGGTGGCACACCAGTACACGACACGTGGTTGGTGGCACACCAGTGCAGTACACGTGGTTGGTGGAACACCAGTACACGACACGTGGTTGGTTGCACACCAGTACACGACACGCACGGTCGATGCGGGACACGGTATACGGATCGCTGTGCAGAGTAATACACGACACTGCACTGTACTATTTACACAAGGACACTGCTGTTTACACAACGACACTACTGTGTACACAACGACACTGCACTGTCCTGTTTACACAAGGACACTGTTCTATTTACGCAAGGACACTGTACTGTTTACACAGCGGATGCAATGCAGCGCAACACAGTACTGTACTTAACGACCATTGCAGTCGAGTTGCACAACTGTATCGTACAGCACACACAGAGCGCTACAGCAGTGCAGCACACAGAACAAGCACACGGGGTCACACGGCGTAGGGCATCAGTACGAGTACACGTCCTGTACACAACTCGGTACGGTGGACGACGCAAACACAACGGTGGCAGTACAAACGCCGAGGTTCACACGTGGCACGGCAGAGGGAGCGTTGCGTGTGCTTTGTCCTCTGTGTCGGTATGTGTACAGGGTGGTCCACATGTCTTGTAACCCGCATTTCATTATCTAAAACTTAATATATATTTTTTTCGTGTATACCAATGGGTGTGAAAACAGAAATGAATAAGGAAGTGGGGTGGGGGGGGAGTTGGGGATCAATTAATTTGGGGTTACAAGACATCTGGACCACCCTGTTACAGTACACGTGTACACCCGGAATAAGCACGTGTGTAGCACGCGTACACATATAGCATACAGTATTATACTGTATCTCTGCAGAGTTCACCGCGTGGTTTATTGATATCTACAGTACATCGTATGTGCACGCGTCTAATTGCAGTACCTGATTGAATACAATCTACAAGGAACTGCACTGTGAATGCTTCCCGATGCTGTGTGTGTACTATGTGTCTGCTGTGTGTGTGTCTGCTGTGTGTGTGCTGTCTGTCTGCTGTGTGTGTGTACTGCGTGTCTGCTGTGTGTGTACTGTGTGCCTGCTGTGTGTGTACTATGTGTCTGCTGTGTGTGTGTCTGCTGTGTGTGTACTGTGTCTGCTGTGTGTGTGTACTGTGTGTCTGCTGTGTGTGTCTGCTGTATGTGTACTGTGTCTGCTGTGTGTGTACTGTGTGTCTGCTGTGTGTGTGTCTGCTGTGTGTGTACTGTGTCTGCTGTGTGTGTACTGTGTGTCTGCTGTGTATGTGTCTGCTGTGTGTGTACTGTGTCTGCTGTGTGTGTACTGTGTGTCTGCTGTGTGTGTACTGTGTGTCTGATGTGTGTGTACTGTGTGTGTGCGGTGTAATTCACGCTGTCCATTAGACATGTTCATTATTCGTTTGACATTGAGCCACGTGGGTTGTTGAGAAGTTGACAGTGAATGGGCTTTGTTTTGCGTGTACGCGTGTGGATGTGTAATGTTAATTGTGTTGTCCGTGGACGTCCTGTAGTGTGTATATATTGTGGCAGTGATTGTGTTATGTACTTTGTGTGTGGGCTGGTATCCTGATTACTGTATTGTGTGTTGTGTACAGCATTTGAGGTGGGCTGGTATAATCATTGTGTATCAGGTGAATTGGTATGATGGTGGTTGTGTGCTATGTGTACCATATGGGCTGGTGTCATTATTATGTGCTGTGTGTACCTGGTGGGATGGTATAATCATCGTGTTTCCGTGGGACTGGTATGATGGTGGTGGTGTGCTGTGTGTACCAGGTGGGCTGGTATAATTGTGTTTCCGTGGGGCTGGTATGATGATGGTGGTGTGCTGTGTGTACCAGGTGGGCTGGTATGATGATGTGGTGTGCTGTGTGTACCAGGTGGGCTGGTATAATGAGCGGGTGCTGGAGGGCTTCCGCCTGCCCGTGCCAGCAGAGTCTCTGGGCGTGCTCGTCATCAGCACCCCATCCATGTTCGAGCTCGCCCTTCTGCCATTCCTGTCCCGGCCGGAGCGGTGCGGCACCCGCGACCCCGTGGATGAGTGCTCGGCGTTTCACCTCTCTGCCGTCACACAGGTGCCTCGCTCCTCCTCGTTTCTGCAGTACAGCAAGTCGACCGACTTGACCGATGTCCGTTTCCGTCCGTATGGGGATAGAGTGTTGCCCCCTCGCACACGTGGGTTTTATACTGGTGCTCCGGTTCATCCCAGTTATATAAACACACTCATCATTCATTGGCTGAAAATATCTTTAAAATAAAAACCCAAAGCAGGACCCTCCTGAAAGAGTGTGGCTCTCCTGGATAAATAAGTAAATCATTATTATCTGTAACGTTGGACTACCCAGTGGCATTCATTTCACAGCTCTCACCCTGCTGATGAGACTGAAGTTTTGACCAGATTGTTAATCAAATGTTACTGAGATAAATTGATCCCGAAGGCACGTTGGTCAATGAAGTAAACACGTTTTCTGTGATGAAACACACTTCCAAATAGTTTATGTACTGGGAGTTGGTTTCTGATGTAGCTATCCGAGTACTTTTTCCTAATTTGTGTTGATTTTATCCTGATACTCGGATTTATTTAACATAAAAAAACTACATTTAATAGGAAACTGGCCAAAAAAGTTAAGTAGATTGCTCCTAAGGCAGCCTTGAGATATGCAAATGTTCTGGGGTAAGTACATTTCTGTTTTTATTCTTGTTTATTTATCAGGGTTTGATAGTACAATGTTAGAGATTATTGAAGAAAAATACATTGTTTTACCATGCTATAATTCCAACACCTGTGGTCCCAACATTCACCAACCATCACTACTGCTGACAAGTGTGGTAAAATATAGTCGCATAATACCCACAGATATGAGGCACATTTCCAGCATTTTCTGTGACAAAACGGGGCTATCTACGCACGCGTGCACGACTGTGCGTTTGCGTGCGCCGCATGGCAGGAGTTCCCGGGCCAGCGCGTGGAGGTGATCCACGACTTTGACGTGCTGCCCAGCCGGCGGCCGCGCCTGCTGGTACAGACGGCGGCGCACGTGGCCGGCGCGGCGTTCTACTACCGGTCCGAGGACGTGCGCGACGCCCCCTGGCCTGCAAACAAGGTGTGGCCACGGTCTCTTTCTCACCGCTGTCTCTCAGCTTTTCCGCTAACCCTGCGTCTGATTGCACCGCGCAGGATTGCCGCGCCACCGTACAGAAACCTCAACCACGGGTGCAATGTCATCGTTGTGATTTTTGTTTCTTCCTGTCATTCAGTTATCTGAAATTAATTGAGGATCAAAAGGGTAATAGGAAGGTGAATGGATCTCATAGCTCTGAATTATACTTGTAATATGGAGAGATGTTATTTAAAACCCAGTGAGAGCCCATTGAGATCAGATCTCTCATGGCAGACCGGTCCCCACTATGAGCATGTGGCTGCTGATCTTCCAAAGGCGATTATCTCCATCCCATTGCTCAACTGAGGAAGGAAGCACAGGTATTTTTTTACCTTTACTGCATAATAGGTTACGTGGATAAAAAAATATATATAACGCAGTCCCAATGAACTGTGCGTTGGTGGTGCTGGTGGAGTAGAAGATGTTTGGGGTGTGCATGCACCCCGTGTACGGAGGCTGGTTCGCCATCCGGGGGGCGCTGATCTTCGCGGACGTGAGCGCCTCGGACCTGCCGCGTCCGGAGCCTCCCGACTCCGTGTCCTCCAACGCCGCACGCATCCTCCTGCTCGAGAAGTTCAACTACAACTGGCAGGTGAGACAACGGAGGGAGGAGGACACGGGGGCACGCACGTGGTGGTGCGCGCATGACAGTGTGTGTGTAGGAGTGCATACGTGAGATGTGTGGGGGAGTGGTGATGCAGTGTTAAGTGTACTGTGCTATGCCCTAGCCACCTGTGTTCAAATCCTGGAAATGCACACCATAAGTGAAAAGTGTGACTTGTCCTTGAGCCTCCCCTAGGTTAGCTTAGCCTTAAATAAGTACCTGGTGTGGTGTGTTAACATAAGTAGGAACCAAATAAGGGTGGCCAGGCGTGGTGTTGGCCACATGACCCTATCACGTAATGTATCAGCCTACATAGCTGCTCATGGCATTCAGATGGAACTTGGCCATATTTTCTACAAAATTAAACATTGGATCTTTGACTCGTTATGAGGTGAATATGGGTCGCTGCGTGTGGGGGTATTAGATGGAGGTAGAGGATGCGTGATGGGATGGGATTTATTCCCCACTGAGTCTACTTGTGGATATGAAACCACTGACTCCTTGCACATGGGTGCAGTGGGCAATATGCCACACAAGCAGACTATGCAACCTCTCGGTTTCATCATTTACAGCTGTTTTATTCGCTGCTCTAACCTCTGTGTCATGTGCAAATTCAGTTGTGTTTTGTGTAATTACACGCAGCCACATTGGAGACGAGTTTGCTTGAGGGTGGTGACCCTGGTTTTTAACCATGGATTCTCCGCTTGCGTGCTGCCTTGGGTGTGCATTGTGTGTGTGTGTGCACGCAATGTGTGTGCGTGTGTGTGTAGGACTGGAGCTATCGCGACGTGATCCCTGTGAAGCAGCGCTACTCTGAGGCACAGAAGCTGTATTTCTCTACACCACCCGACCAGCGGCACACCCTGCCTGGCTTTGCTTTTCTCCAGCCTCAGCCCACATCACAACCAGGGGCTGAATCTGAAACTGAACCAGTGTCCCGACCAGAGCAAGGGTCAACACCAGAAGCAGTGTCTCCACCAAAACCAGAATCTGTGTCACTACAAGCAGCAGTGTCCGTACCATAGCGAATGTCTACACCAGAACTAGTTTAAATGCACAAAACCAGAACTCATGTCTGTTACATAATACACATATACAACAGAACCAGTGTCTGCGCCTAAAACATAATCGGTCATTTGCACCAAGAACGTTAACGTTCTGACCCGCCTCTACTGGACGTCTGAAAAAGACCTTTATAGCTCATTGGATTCCTCCAGTATAAATACTTATTTTGATTCTGAAGAACAGACCATTTTTCAGTCCAAAAGCCGGTGCGTGTACCATTAACATTGCCTACAATGTAAGCCGTGGCTATACTAAAACCAGAGTATTCTGACGAGATGCCACGCTGTCAATGGGGAGCGAGCGGCTCGCGCAGTTGAGCTGCTCCGCGTAAGCCGAGAGGGATCGCCACCAATGGGTGCTCTCTGTGGGGCCGCTGGCTGCCTGGATGTCGTCTTCTGCTGTCGGAGGGAAGTCCCTTCCACGGAAAAGTCTCTTAATAGATACCTATAGCACGATTGGCAAAGGCGATTAAAACCAATTTTTGCCTTGGCTGCAAGTGCCTTGTGATAGCAGCCTGAAAAGTTCTGCGACCTTGGCATAAGGAACTGCATTGTGCTTTTGTATCAAAATATGCATTATAAAGCAGAACTTTAGTCACTTGAGAAATTGTGGACTGCACGTTTCTATTGGCCATGAAATAAGGGTATAAAATTTAAGGAAATTATATTAATAGGTTTTCGTAGCCGATACAATTGTCCATACAATATTTGTTTATGACATTTTTTTACTAAAACTACTCTATGGCCCAACCCAAAAACATGGATTGTAAAAATATATACATCTGTAGTGTTTATAAAGACGAATAAACTTATTTAGGAGGCACACTCTGTTTATTGTAATTCCTTCCTTATACAGTCCTTAACACACAGAGGGGTATCCGGTCCCCTCACCCGATATCCTAAGGAGGTACAGCCTCCGGACTCAGCGTAACCTACACACAGGTCTCCTTGATACCTAAGGAGGTACAGCCTCCTAGCTTGGCGGGACTTGCACGTCTTCCGCTACCCTATCCCAGAGTCCTCCGGCTGGGACCTAGGGGAGGCTATCTGACCCACCGCTGGCCCGGTGGGTCCTGACCACTGGATACGCCGAGCCTTAACCCTCATAAGGGCTGGAAGGTTGGTCCAGGGTCCGAGCTAGTCTTCAGCCCGGGCTTCGGTCTTCGTGTAGGGACAGAACTCCCCGAGCTCTGCGTGGTCACCCTTCTTATACCTGTTTGTGGCCAGGTACAACCAATCCCACATTCCCACCTGGAACTGTCTGATTGGTTCTCCCCAAACTGTGGCTACGATCCACTTCACCTCGTCTGACCCCAACCGTTATGTACACCGAGGTAACGCTGCACTGCCCCCCTTGATACCTGGTGGCAATGCAGGTTACCGAACAGTGCGTAGTTAACACCTCTACACATCTAACACTAAGCGATTGTCCGCATTGTTTCCACAAACTAATTGTTTAATACATAAAAGTATAATGATAGTCAACACCAACTTGTCATTGTCTTTATTTCAGCCCTTCATTGCCTATTATAAAGCTGTATTTGTGTCGCACCCTGCAACCAGGGCCGTCCATACAGGGGTGGGGGTGTGGGGCCTGGGGCGACTCACAGTGCCCCCCCCCCCCACGCCTTGAAACTAAACCGGAAGTGTTACATCTTACACTGTGACGTACAAGCGCTGGGCCCCCCAAAATTCGGTGCCCAGGCAGTCGCCCCAATTCGCCGTACTCTTCTGCAGCCATTAAGAGTCGCTGACATTCACAATGTCGACTTTTGAACCGTTAAAATTGAATCCTGAAGCAGAATCCCAACAATTCTATGAAACAATGGATATATACAAATCCCTTTTGTCAATCCTCGTCGCATCACCACATGGCATGTATTTACAAAGGCCACCCACAATGCTCGGCTGGATGAAGGTTTCCCCGTGTTATTGTGCGGGTCGTGAGGAGCTGGCTCGTGCAGGTGGGATTCGAGCCACTGTACCGGATGGCTAAGCAGGTATCGCAAAGCTTTGATGGAAATCGGAATTTTGTTATTTAACCCTATACCTGAATTGTGATCATTGGGCCAAAATAATCCATTGCGAGGTGAATTCTGCTGTTGGTTTGGGCTACTCGACTGCAACAGGGCCACCCATAAATTTTGATTTAAAGCTTTCGTGACTGCAGTAATTCATATTAGCTCTTTCGGTAAAGTCACGTTGAAGGGAAACAATAAAATATATAAAACAAAAAAAATTCTCACGACGTTTCGACCATAACACAAACGGTCGTCATCAGGTGTGTCGGTTTGCATAAATGTATTTATTTTTAAAACGGTGTATTTATTTGTTTATAATAAAAAAACGTTAGCGCCACACGCAGCGATTTGGCAGTTTATTTAGATGGACTAGTCCTTTTCTAAACAAATAAATACACCGTTTAAAAATAAATAAATTTATGCAAACCGACACACCTGATGATGACCGTTTGTGTTATGGTCGAAACGTCGTGAGAATTTTTATTGTTTTATATATATTTTATTTTATTGTTTCCCTTCAACGTGACTTTACCGAAAGAGCTAAGAATAGGGCCACCCATAATTCAGGCAACATTGTATAGTATTTCATACACATTTACAAATCATGCAGGCAACAGTATTTTCATAAACATTTATTTGCCAATACTGTACATGTTTTATTTAAGAGTTTGTCTCTTACTCAGCTGAAAGGTAACTTCATAGTAGCACGGTTGGTTACATACGGTGCGATCGAAGTTCAACATATATATGGCAATTTAAACGTTTCATCTGTAAATTCTAATCAGGCCCCATGGTGTAAAGTGCAGTCTCCAACTCGTATCCACTATCTCTGACCTATGTGCTATGAAAAAGGGCCATTACCCGAAACGTCGCCAGCCGTAGGCGGGGATCAAGCTGCACGAAAATACAACCATGGATGTTTATGCATTGCCCTCTTACTCATAACATCGCCGACAGTATATATAAAAAAACGTGCATGCAAATCGGACTGTTTAAAGTCGGCTTTTAAAACAAATCACACTTTAAAAAAACCAGCGATACTGGTTTCACATACATAAAACATGTTTTACACATCCTATCAGCCACACTGTTCTGGCCGTGCATAAGCTCAGCAGTATTCAACAATAAAATGATTTTGGGTTAGATCGCGTAAATATAAATCCGTCGTTTAAACCCGCCACCACCCGACACGTTAAATCAGTTCATCACTGGACAGGTTTCGGCATTCCGTGTCTCATCAGCATCGTCCCGTGAGTGCGTGGTGGGGGCTTCCACAAACACCGGCGAACACCGCGCGGGATCGGCGGCTGATGGCCTTAATCTAAGTTGTCTTGCGGTTGTTGTTATTTGACTTGCATCCCACTGGGATTTTTGCACACAGCGTTGGTGTACGGTGCTATTTCAGGAATATTTTGATATTTTTTTCCTGTATTTTCTGTTTGCACAGTCACATAATCACTTTAAGATGTTTTCTTGTTCATGTTTTTTGTTTGTTGCGGTTGCACCCGATTCAAGAGCCGAATGGCTCACAGGGCTATACCAAATCAATGAACTATGGAACTATGAACCTCCACTCGCCCACAGCGACACCGCCCGGCGAGCCACCACCACGCTGCCGCCACGTGGCCGCCGGCGGCCGGTCACGTGGCGCGCCCGCGGATTATTTATTTATTTAGGGGCGCGCGTGACGCCTAAATAATTAAATAACCGCGGCTTCGTAGGCGGAAGTGGCTGCGGCATCCCGGAAGTGTCGCGCCGCACGTGTCGTCGATCTGCCCCCCCCCCACGGCGGCGGCAGGCGACAGGCGGCAGGCGACATGCTGCTGCTGCCCGTGTCGGTGCGGGACGGAGACGCGAAGCCTCGGCGGGCCCGGCTCGCTCACCGCCTCGCCGGCTGGTTCCGGTGAGGGGGCTCGGCGCGGCGCTCCGGGCGGGCGGGCGGGCGGGCGACTCGGCTGGGCCCGCGCCTGTGGGGGGCCTCCCCCACGCCCCGGCCGGCCGGCCGGCTGCGTCTCGCTTGGTCCCTCCGCTGGTGGCCGCGCCCAGGCCGAGTTGGGACGGCGGCGAACTGTGGGAGTTGTGTGAATGGGTTGTTGTGTGTGGGGTTCCTGTGGTGTGTGTGCGGTGTGTTTGTGGTTCGTGTGGGGTGTTTGTGGTGTGTGTGTGAGAGGTGTTGTTCTTGTGATGTGTGGGGTTATTGTAATGTGTGGTGTGTATGGACGTGTGAGGTGTTTGACGTTAGTGTGAGTAGTGTTTGAACGTGTTTGGGTTTGGTGTGTGTGAGCTGTGTACGGGTGGTTGTGTCCGTGTCCGTCGTGTTTGACGTTGTGGTTCGCGCGTCCTGTCCTGTCGATGTGATTGAGGGATTCTTGTGGCGTGTGTGTGGGTCGTGCAAGGCTCTAAGTTTTGTTGAGTTTTAATTGTGTATGACGTTTGGATGTGTCGTGCGTGCTTGTTGTGAATGTTGAAAGGGGAAGATACAAAGCGAGGTGCAGAAAGTGATAGTGACACAACAATAATAACAGTCCTGTATGTACGGCTTGTGTAACGCCTTTCATAAAATCTTAAGACGTAGGTAACGCAACCAAGAGACCCCCCCGTTGCACTATGAGCACCTTGGTGGCTGTGTCTGCCTGCTTAAGAGCAACCGAGCGCTTGGTTGTTCAAGGTGGTTGTTGTTTGTGTTGTTGTTTGTGTTGTTTTGAATGCGACCCCCACCACGCGCCTATTCACGTTGCAATTATCTGGCTTTAACACGTGACCAATATTCATACTAGAGGGTTTTTCTGGGGTTAAATGTTGTGGATTCACCCCTCAACGCACCGGTGGGCTGAAGTAGCCCCTATTTGGCGTCTTGTTTACGTGACAAATCCCTTACTAATTGGCCGTGTCGGGTGGTGGAGGGTTTCGACACATTTATACTTACGCGATCTAACTTTAAAAAAAAAACCTCTTACGAATGTTCTGGGGTATCCACCAATGCTCGCTCTGTGCCCCCCCCCTCACCCCAACAGGTCCATTCTCGCGGACCAAATCTCCCGCAACCTGTTCTTCTTTCTCCTGCTCAATCTCTCATTCGCGTTCGTTGAGCTCCTCTACGGGATATGGAGCAACAGGTACGACTGTGTTGTGATGCACCGCAGAAGGGGGGGCGACCGAACGTGTTGCGACATACGCGCCCGGCTCGCCGGATGTGAGACACCGCAGACCGCTGCTGGGGTGTCGTTGTTGTGTTCGCGGCTTGGCCTCGGTGTGCCAGGGTGCGGGAGGTGGATGGGGAGTTGGAACAATTCGTCTCTTGTTTAGTACGACGCCAGTTTGGCAAAACACTGCTGGATGAAAGCCTCCCCCCCCAAGCCTTGTCTGCCGTGTGAGGCTTTGTTTTTTTTAAACCATACTTCACCACGCTGGTACGTGCAGGTCTGTGAAAGCGGCGTTTGGCAGGATCTAGTCAGATATAACTTGCCACCCATTGTTAGCTTTGGTTAGGATTTAAACTCGTATCGCTGTGTGATTGTTGTGCATTCTTTAACCAGTGCCATGGGTGGGATTGGTCGGTTCAGGTATCGCTTCAGCCGTGGCTGGGAATCGAACTTGGATTGTTAAGTTTAAAACGCAGTTCGCTCACCATTGCACCACCGCTCCATCCACGATGTATCGATTAATGTATATTTTGTGAGCTCACGATACCTGTGTGTGCATTAATCCAGCAATGCTGGATTAGAAGTTCAACATGCATCTTGCGCGTGATGAGTCCACGTGATCACGTAACCGATAGTCATTCCACCGGTACAAAAAACAATACCAATTCGTGTATTGAAACGCCATGCTGATTTGTAACAATTTATAGAATTGCAGGGGCAGCGAGTGAGTGCTTTGTAAACACTGGCGTTGAGCCCACGACCCCACGCCGTGCCACGTTGCCGACAGCTGGTCGCAGGTTCAAGCTTCGCATCACTGGGAGGCATTGCACAGGGGACTGGGTTTACAACCATTCACTCACTCCACGCCGTGCAATTTCATCATCGTTTTTGTGTCTCCCGCGCTCTGTCCTCTTCTTTGCCTGCCACTCGGTAAATATTCTCTCCAACTGGATATTATCTCTGCCCAATTTTATTATTCGTCAATACGAAGTCGAGGTAGTGAAAGCGTTACTCTGAGACGCATTATTGAATACGTGTATCATGAGTATTAGATTCAATTTGAGGCCATACATTGAACTGTCTCATTTGTACTGACTAACCATTGCGTTTGTACGGACGATATACCGGCATGAGTTGTTACATCCTTCGCACATGCCCATTTAATCTTTGAGGTGTAAATATCTAAAATCAGTCCCAATTCACTCCGAGCAAGTGATGCGCCATTGCATTATGAACACATACCCCATTGGTGTAGCTCATTTGACAAACTCTTCATATATAAATCACCTCTTGCATATCTCCTATCTACAAATGTATTTTTCAGTCACTTAGACCGAAATGCCAATGTTGCCATGGTTTATTGGCCAGCACACTTAGACGATCAATCCAGAGGTCACCGGTTCAACCTCCTGGCACAGCAGTTGAAGCCATGGGCAACTTTCATGCAATGCCCCTGCCCACCGATCAACATACATTCATACACCCCAGGCGATCGGTAGGTCGTGTGTGGTAAGGGAAAAGTGTGGGTACTCCTACCTTTTCCAAGACGACTGTCCAGTGTGGAAGAGGAGGAAAAATACCCTCCAGCAGGGCTCTCTAGAGCTCCGTCTACCGGAGGGCCTTCCGCTAGCAGTGGCGAGAGCAAGAATTTCAGGGCTACACCTTGACCCTCTTTACTCGAAAAAGTCATTGTGCAGTCCTGCAAACATCTGAAGGGTATTTGGGCAACTCTTCCACGCTTGTCAGATGTTTAGGCAAGCAAATCCTCATCACTCACATTTTGAACCTAATTAGGGTCTGGCCTGTTTATTTTATGTAATTTAAGTTTCACCGTTGCTGCGGTTAGGGTCAGCCAGTGACGTCAACTAAACCAATTTTCAGAGAGATTATGCCTTGATTAGGTGTGTGCTTGGGGCACAAACTTGTGCCGCCCAAGGCCAAACACGGCATGTTGTAATCATGTGGGATTGTTGTGGTCGATAAAAGCAGAGCTTAATTAAACACTAATTACAGCTTTACAGTGGAACTGGTTTGATGGGCTGGCTGCATGGCTGGTGTGTTTCCACATGGAGGAATGTGGAATGGATAGTTGCAGCGTGAGAAATCATCCTGAGATGATGTAGTTTAAGTAGAGAGCCCTTAACAACCAACGAATGGCCAGATAAAATCCAGCCACATGTATTGTTCTACGTATGACTGTTTAATGCAGGCTTGATGCAGTAGTTTGCCAGCTTGCTATGATTCATCCAGATAGGAATTGGTTCAGCCAGCTATCTGGTTGCAGCGCTGTTGATGTTTTTTAAAAACTTCCTCATAATCTTCCTCCTTTTGGTGAATACTGTACAGAAATGGCATTTTATTCCATCATTTATATGAAGAAGTTTGTGCAGCTGCCCAATGGTGGCTGTTGAGAATTATCATACTGTGTTGTTCATTATAACGTAGACATGACAGTTCCCCTGACAGCATTGACAAGAGTAAAATAATGTGCGCCAGTGTTGTAACATATATCCCAGTCGTGAGCATCTCCCATAATTCTCAAAGCAGACAAATTTGTCATGCAGCGACGATTGCAAAACAAATTAACCTCATTGAGATATCGCATGAATGAATACATTCTTTAGTATCACACAATGTTGCGGTCGCCTGGAATTCAAATGTAGCGGCTCGTGTTTTCGAATTGCAATACAGTATCACAATACTTGTCACAACACAACACACCTTTATTTTGACGTATCGTCAACATACGACCCGCGTGTCAAGTTGCAGTTTTATGTTCCCTGTCCCGTGAGCTGAGTTTGTGCCGTCGGTCCCCTCCCGAGAGACGGGCCGGCCCCCATAGCGTGCGACAACGTGTTCAACACGCGTTGAACACGGCGCTTTCACAGTCGAACCGCAAGGTGCCCGCGCGCGTTACGGCCTTCTGTGCTCACGACCGACAGAATTTGTCCCGGCGGCGCGGCCCACTTAGGACGCGCTGCTGTAGCGCCATTAATATTGCGACAGATCCACCGTGGTGTTGCCGGCTCTGCTTTGGACCATTTTACCGCGTGCTCTCGAGTGCGTTTTAAACGGCGCTCGGAGGCCTCCCTCGAGTGGAAGGCGGCGCGTGGGGTAATTACGGCGTCCAATGACGCCGTCGGCTTTAAATTTGCGCAAATTGCTCCGACACCCCCCTTCATCGTGCAGTTTGGCGCGTCTGCTTAATGTTGCCTTGTGTTGACATGTTGTCTTCGGCATTCTCTACGCGTTTGCCCTCCCTTTTGTTTGTCAGATTGAGACCTTTTGCATCGTCTATCATTTGATAATGCATTCCATTAGCTTGAGCCTTGAATTGTGGTACACTTGGAACACTGGCATGCACAGAGGTCACGTGCGTTTGGGAGTGAAGCAAGAGCTTTGAGATGCAGAATGTGACCACAGTGCTGAGTGATGTTGAAGCCCAGCAGGAGCAGCCCATGATGGTAAAGTTTATAACTTTCCCGCACTGTTGTTTATCGCTCATGAATGTTAGCAAATCCTTCTTTTGTTGGTATGGTGGGGGGAAAAATCACAACTTCCAAATTGATTACAAAAAATCAGCTTGGATAATCTAGAAATACATTGGCAGCATGCGGTGATGAGGGAGACTTTCGCCGGATTCCTACGGAGTCTCGTTTGTTACTTCGTTTTTTGAGCATTGGAATTGGTGTAAACATACAACCCTGTTGAGTTGTGAGTTGGCACGGAGGTGGTTGGCCAGGAAGGGGGTTCAAAAACCCATCGGGAAAACTTTGAGCGTTATCCTCTCGTATGCCAGTGTCCACCCCTTTTTTATTTGAATTTACCAAACATTCCATTGCAGGAACCTCTTAAAAGTAATTGGCTACATTGACACTGTGGGATAAACACATGGCAATATTATTAAAATGAAATTTTTAGGTAAAATTGATAAAAGATCCGATGGAAACCTTAGAGTAAAATATTACTTTGACAAACAAGAAAACACGATTATAATGTTGATATTCACGTAGAAGGGAAACAATACAATTTTATTGTTTGCCTTCTACGTGACTTTACCGAAAGAACCAAGAATATCAATTCCTGCAGTCACGAAAGCTTTAAATCAAAATATAATGTTGATGTCATGTTGCCCCATTGCAGTTGCTAGTCAGCATATGCTCCAGGACCTGGCTTGTGTTTGTGGCGTTTGCTGTGGATTTAGCCAACGAAACTACGGCATCCAAAGTGAGCTTGCTTAGACAGATTTATTTGTGGTGTTTTCAAAATGTTTTCAAAATGTGAAGCCTAAAAAAGTCTGCGTCTGCCAGTGAAGTAAGCGCTTGGGCAGTGCTTGTTTCCGTGGGTTGTCCTGAGCCAATAAAGACTTTTGAAAACTAACCCTAAGAACTCATCTGCATAAAGACCTGTCCAAATTAATGTAAAAAAGTCTGTAAAACATGATTACCAAATATAGGAAAATATTTTGGCACGAAACGGGTGTTAACTTAGTAGTACAGTGAGGGGAAAAAGTATTTGATCCCCTGCTGATTTTGTATGTTTGCCCACTGACAAATAAATGATCAGTCTATAATTTTAATGGTAGGTTTATTTGGACAGTGAGAGACAGAATAACAACAACAAAATCCAGAAAAACGCATGTCAAAAATGTTAAAATTGATTTGCATTTTAATGAGGGAAATAAGTATTTGACCCCCTCTCAATCATAAAGGTTTCTGGCTCAGGTGTCTTTTCTACAGGTAACGAGCTGAGATTAGGAGCACACTCTTAAAGGGAGTGCTCCTAATCTCAGCTTGTTACCTGTATAAAAGACACCTGTCCACAGAAGCAATCAATCAATCAGATTCCAAACTCTCCACCATGGCCAAGACCAAAGAGCTCTCCAAGGATGTCAGGGACAAGATTGTAGACCTGCACAAGGCTGGAATGGGCTACAAGACCATTGCCAAGCAGCTTGGTGAGAAGGTGACAACATCTTCTTTGGTTCTTTCGGTAGAGTCACGTAGAATGAGAATAAAATACGTGACTTTACCGAAAGAACCAAAGAAGATGAATCCTTGCAGTCACGAAAGCTTTAAATCGAAAGGTGACAACAGTTGGTGCGATTATTCGCAAATGGAAGAAACACAAAAGAACTGTCAATCTCCCTCGGCCTGGGGCTCCATGCAAGATCTCACCTCGTGGAGTTGCAATGATCATGAGAACGGGGAGGAATCAGCCCAGAACTACACGGGAGGATCTTGTCAATGATTTCAAGGCAGCTGGGACCATAGTCACCAAGAAAACAATTGGTGGTAACACACTACGCCGTGAAGGACTGAAATCCTGCAGCGCCCGCAAGGTCGCCCTGCTCAAGAAAGCACATATACATGCCCGTCTGAAGTTTGCCAATGAACATCTGAATGATTCAGAGGACTACTGGGTGAAAGTGTTGTGGTCAGATGAGACCAAAATAGAGCTCTTTGGCATCAACTCAACTCGCTGTGTTTGGAGGAGGAGGAATGCTGCCTATGACCCCAAGAACACCAACCCCACCATCAAACATGGAGGTGGAAACATTATGCTTTGGGGGTGTTTTTCTGCTCAGGGGACAGGACAACTTCACTGCATCAAAGGGACGATGGACGGGGCCATGTACCGTCAAATCTTGGGTGAGAACCTCCTTCCCTCAGCTAGGGCATTGAAAATAGGTCGTGTATGGGTATTCCAGCATGACAATGACCCACAACACACGGCCAAGGCAACAAAGGAGTGGCTCAAGAAGAAGCACATTAAGGTCCTGGAGTGGCCTAGCCAGTCTCCAGACCTTAATCCCATAGAAAATCTGTGGAGGGAGCTGAAGGTTCGAGTTTTCAAACGTCAGCCTCGAAACCTTAATGACTTGGAGAAGATCTGCAAAGAGGAGTGGGACAAAATCCCTCCTGAGATGTGTGCAAACCTGGTGGCCAACTACAAGAAACGTCTGACCTCTGTGATTGCCAACAAGGGTTTTGCAACCAAGTACTAAGTCATGTTTTGCAGAGGGGTCAAATACTTGTTTCCCTCATTAAAATGCAAATCAATTTATAACATTTTGACATGCGTTTTTCTGGATTTTTTTGTTGTTATTCTGTCTCTCACTGTTCAAATATACCTACTATTAAAATTATAGACTCATCATTTCTTTGTCAGTGGGCAAACGTACAAAATCAGCAGGGGATCAAATACTTCTTTCCCTCACTGTAACTCAAGATATCACGGAGAAGCCAGGGGGCTTAAGATAATTTATCAAAGTTCTAGGTCTAGTGCGTCTTTAGAATGAGCAGCTGGGATGAAAAACAGGGCGACCCCTGCATCCTGCCACGCACGCAGCCAAATAATCCGAGACCTTTACCTGAAGGCCACCGCGTAGTCGGCAACTGTGCCAATCCCCGCTCTTTCCTCCAAGTGACACCGACATCCGGACGTCCCCGGAGGCTCGGTGCGTGCGTTTACGTCTTTCCCGTGTGCGCCCACGCCCCTTCCCCCCCTTCCTTCCCTTCCCCCAACCAGCCTGGGGCTCATCTCGGACTCGTTCCACATGTTCTTCGACTGCACGGCCCTGCTGGCGGGGCTGGCGGCGTCCGTCATCTCGCGGTGGCACTCCAACGACGCCTTCTCCTATGGGTACGCCGGCCGCCAGGGCGCCCGCGAGCAGCCTCAAGCGTGAAAGTGCCACCCGTAACGCCTTCCCCTACCCTTAGCCGTAGCACTGATCTCAACCACGAGCAAGCCCCCAGCTCTTCTGTTCACACCCGCGATTTTATAACTATTACTCCTATCTGTACCCTCAACACCACAGCCCGAGCTCTACACGTAGCCGTGAACTCGCCGGTGCAATCGCAACTCTCGCGTTAAGGCACCGTGTGTTCTGTGTCCGCCCCGTTTGCAGGTATGTCAGGGCAGAAGTGATGGCTGGCTTTGTCAACGGCCTCTTTCTGATCTTCACAGCTTTCTTCATATTCTCCGAGGGCATTGAGGTAAGCGCTTTGTTGCGGGCGTGACGATGCGTCGGATCGTTGGTGGTCCTTGTGCTCGCGATGCATCTGTGTCGTGTCTGTGAGAATCTCATTTTTACTTTCCATTTGTATGTGCGCTGCACGTAATCCAACAGCCATTATCTGGTCTGGTTTTGACATTGTTGGGCTCGCCAGCAGATTACTGCTTGTTATATATTTTCAAAAAAGTTACATTTGTAGGATACGTTGGGCTCTTTCTGCCCTTTAGAGTAGATTCGTGTGATCCAGAACGTTCTTTCACCATATTCTGGGGGTCTTTCGGTAAAGCCACGTAGATGGAAAAATAATACAAATATCACAACGTTTCGATCGCAACGCAAGCAATCGTCTGCGGTCGGGAATCGTTGCCGGCGTTCATTTTGAGATTCCCTCCCCCTCCCCCGCCGGCTCCGGCAGCGAGCCGTAGAACCGCCGGAGGTTCACCACGACCGCCTCCTCACCGTCTCCGTGCTGGGTTTCTTCGTCAACCTCGTCGGAATCTTCGCGTTCCAGCACGGCGGGCACGGCCACTCCCACGGAGGTGCGTGGTGGAGTCCCCCGCGCCCGCACGGCCGTGTCCTAGATTCTTTCTGTCGAGTTTTGCGCGAAACGCTGTGACGGGCGGGGTTGCCGACGGAGTGGTGACGGAGAGAAGGCGCCCGTGAGGACGGTGATCACCGTGGGCGGGGGGGAGCAGGGAGGTTCGGGAGTCGGAGGGCGGTGCCGTGAGACGGGGATGAATGGTGACGCTGTCGAGAGGATTTTGTCTTTTGTCATTGTGACGATTGGCACCCAACTAAAACCTGGGTCTGCTGGTTCCACGTGGAAACTCTCAGCCGCGGCAACTTATACGTTGCAGCCACCTTTTCCACAAATGGAAAATAAAAGTTGCCCTGGTGCAAGTTCGGCGAACCCGCACAATCGCCGGAGCGCATCGTGACCTCGTGTCCACTGCGAGCGCCCCCGAGACCAGCCACTGGATTTACAAGCTGGACATTGAGCTGTAGTTATTGTTAACAAGACCCAGTGGATCGTACGGGATTACTGCATTGACTAAAGCCTTTTGCGGAGTGCAGGCTTTCTGCCATGGGATGAGACGCCAGACGATTGAACTGGGTGTTGAACCCATCGGCCGATGCCTGGCGTGGCTGCCGTATTTGGGGCAAGCAGCGAGCGAGTGGCTGCTGCTGCTGTGTTTTTTCTGCGATCCAGCAGGTGACGGTACAGGAAGTAGGTCGCCAGCTCAGCGGAGGTTTAGTACGTCGTGTTGCTTGCAACTGTTTTCTCTGGGTACTCCCAGTTTCCTCCCATAAACAAATTAGCCAAAGAGAAATTGGAAAAACGTTGGTTTGCTTTTCTAATGTTAATTACTTTTCAAGATGCCACATTCCATGGAGTTGTTGGAATATTCTTTTCACGTTTTTTGCGTAGTTTTTCTTTACATTGGTGTTTATTATTTTACATTCAGCTCTCATTAATCCCAGGTCCTCCCTCGGTCCCGATGAGCTCTTGAACTTGTTGTAAAGGTCATGTAGTCATCAATGATCCTCCTGAAAGAGTCTTGAGATTCGTTTGTAGCTTCACTAGGAAACTAAGGGCTGTCCTCACAACGGGCATCCGAAGTTGTGACGCTCGATGGAGGTTCTTGGCGCTAATGTTTTGTTGACAGAACTGAATAATGGCGACAGACCCGGTGGTGGGTGTTGATAATGTCCGTGTCGTTTCTCTGCTCCGTAAAGGACACGGGCACAGCCACGCGCAGCACAACGGCGACAAGCATTCGCACGGCCACTCGCACGGCCAAGGCTCGTGCCACGGCCACCACGGTGAGTCGGGGCTTCGCGGCAACTCCGCCGCTTCCTTGAACTCTCGCGCAGCCGTTTACTCGATGGGGGATGCCGACGATCCCTTGCCTTGAAGTTTTGGGATCTGCGTTGCCCCTGCTGCTGCCGCCCGCTTGGCCCGCCACTGGAACTCGCCGACCACGCGGTTCCTGTGTCGTAGTTCCCCTCGTGATCAGTTGGCACGCAGCGCAAATTCCACGTCTCGCTACGCTCGCGTGAAATGTTCGCATTGAGAATCGACTCTGCACGTCTCTCGCGACAGATGGGCCCTCGCGAGCGGAAATTCAGAGAGCGTGCCCGGTGTGGAATGTGGAAATGGCAACCAGATTGTGGGAACGCAAACCAGCTGAAGCCATTCTCTAGCTAATCTCGACCTAAGACTTATCTGAGGTTGCCATACGCAAGAGCGTGATGCTTCATTCGGTGTCCTTCCTGCTATTACGCTTGCTCACATTTTATTTCTGCTCCGTGCCTGTTTCTTGATGCTACCACCATCATTGGTGTCTTCGTGGGAGGTCACTTCCCCATTCTCGCACATCCGATTACATTGGTTGGCTGCGTACGGTGCAAAAGAAGTTCAACGTACATACATATCTTCCTCTTCTCTGGGTCTGGAAAATCTTTTTCTGTGTGTATTTAAATTCCTCTGTTTAAATAACAAGTCCTGGCCACTTTTCTATCTTAGTTTGTTTGGCATGCGGTATATGACTTAATTCAATAGAGCGCGTATGCTTTAAGCCTTGGTCCGTAATCTTGTCAGTTGTTTACTTTGTATTTCAGCACTGCTTTATAGAGTATACGAAAGCAGATTGTAACGTTTTGGGTACGAACAACAGAGCCACGGCTGCCTGACCTGGTCACGACTCTAAAGCCCAGCAGGGGCCGGTCCCGCTCAGCGCTTGGATGGGTGACCTCCCGCTTGTAGCACAGCAGTGTTTACCTGCGCATGACGTATACGATGCTCGGTGACATTTACATTCCAACCCCGAATCTTGCAGCGGCTTATTTTTTTTGTCACGCCTGACATTATACGATGCCTAACCCTAACGCCTGTCTGGAAAATATGTAATTTTAATTTTACCATTTGTAACTATTTAAAACGAGCTTATTTATAATCGTCTTCACCCACAACGTCGTGGGTGAACGCCCACTGCCAGAGCAACGCACGGACAGCACACGCTGCGCTACTTTAAAAAAAACTACTTGCTACTTTTTTATCTTGCTAGGTACGGCCCACTGAGCTTTATAACTCTTTTTCAGAAGCGAACTGGCCACAAATGTTAACTCAACTAAGTGGGTTATCACGTAGAAATTTATAACATAAAAATACTCTTTTTCGATTTAAAGCTTTCGTGACTGCAAGGATTCATCTTCTTTGATTCTTTCGGTAAAGTCGCGTAGAATGAGAATAAAATAATAAATTGATAAAATAAAATAACACAATAATATTCTCACGACGTTTCGGCCACAACACAAGTGGCCTTCATCAGGTGAAGGGGACGAGACTGTCTGGAGGACAGCGCTGGAGTGGACAGTCTCGTCCCCTTCACCTGATGAAGGCTGCTTGTGTTGTGGCCGAAACGTCATGAGAATATTATTGTTATTTTATTTTATCAATTTATTATTTTATTCTCATTCTACGTGACTTTACCGAAAGAACCAAAGAAGAAAAATACTCTTTAAGTGCATGTTTCTAAATGTGGAGGGAAAAACCGGAGGACGCGGAGAAAAATCCATGCCACCACGGGGAGAAGATGCAAACTGCAATTATACAGGCGTCAGGGTTGGGATCGAACCCACCACCTGGTGCATACCAGGCAAGGCAGATAATATCTCGCCACCGCGCTGGTGCGGTCAGCTGTGCAGCACAACCGCGTTCGTCGACAGTCGTGTAACGCGTTGGTCTGTCGCAGGTCATGAAGAGGAGGAGCCGTCCATCTCCACTGGCTCCAATAAGCAGATCCTGCAGGGTACGTGTGGCGGTGGTGGCCTCGGCCCGAGGCTTCACCCTGGACACCACCAGAGGGCGCACGCGCACCGCTGTGCTCGTGTCCACGTGTGGGCGGTGGGGTTAGCGGTGACGTCACAGTGGTTTACGCCCTGCTGCTACGAACCCGGCTGGCTTCGGTGGTAATTGGAATCAGAATCTCTCCCTGGGCCTCCCCGAGGTCAACCCGGCCTTAATTGAGTATGTGGTGCTTTGTGTAAACATCAGCACTGGGGAGACGAAGGTGTTTGGGAGTGGTGCTGGCCACACCACTGTGTTGTGCGCCGCACACACCTTTTTAAAGTGCTGACAGCACTGGCCCCAACAGTCTGTAGGCTGTATCGGGGGATCTGTGGTATGTGTGTGTGATTACGTGTGTTTGGGGAGCGATGGTGTAGTGGTTAGCGCGCTGCGCTACAAACCCGGTGGCCCAAGTTCGATTCTCGCTCACGGCCAACACCAATAATGATTATCTGAACCGGTCCTGGGCCTTCACTAGATCGACTCAGCCTCAAATTATAATCCGATGCGGTGTGTAAACATCGCCACTAGAGAGACAAAAGCAGCCGGGCACGGTGCTGGCTACCCACCTCCTCTTGTGCCGTGTCCGCCTTCATAGGTGCTCCTCACTAACAGCACTTGCCCCAACAATCTGTTAATTCTATACGGGGGATCTTTGTGTTTTGCAGGTGTGTTCCTGCATATTGTGGCGGACACTGTGGGCAGCATCGGGGTGATCATCTCCACGCTGCTGATGCAGAACTACGGCCTCATGATCGCCGACCCCATCTGCTCCATGATCATCGCCGCACTCATCTGCGTCAGGTGCCGCCCCCACGCCCTCCCACCCCTATTGCTCTTCGCCTCCTCGGAGTTCGCCAGTCTGCCCGACCCTGCAGAGCAGAGCAGATGCGCCATTGTTCAGTCAACTGCACCCCCTGTTGGGTGTGGCGTGGGGAGTTAATCTGTGCTTCTGTCAAGCAGCATCACATTAATGCGCTCCACGTTCTGACTCCTAATCCTGGGCTGCTATCGGAGCTTGAGCCAAGATCTTGTGTGTGCAATGAGGTGATGCTGTCAGTTCAATCGCCAACTTGTAAATTATCCTATGCAAGAAGTACATTTTACCGAGTAATTATCGCCAGTGATGCTGCCTTGTCACCCCGTGACCGCGCTAATGTTGTCTGCATGTAGTTCACCCATCGTCACCGCCCTGCTCAGCATCATGCACCACACGTTTAAGGTTTTGGCCGGTTACTTCGTTCTAGCCCTTGAGTGACATCGCTGTGGTGGCACAGGTAAGAGACGTCTAGAGCACCCCTGGCGCTCCGTGTTACTAAATTCCCCGTTGGGAACTTACTAAACGAGCTTGTGTTTGTAAGTCTCGTGTCGAGTACGAGACTGGACCCCCCCACCCTGATGTGGCTCCTCGGCCTTGTGGATGACCTTACCACCGGTGTCCGTGACGGTGTGATATCCCGTCACAGACGTCGCATTCCGCTCCAACCCGGTCCCAATGTCGCCGTGCTTCCCTGGAGAAGGTGCATCCCGTGACGCCGCGTGGCGCGTTGCTGCCCGGTGTTTCCCCCGTAGGCTCGGATCGGAACGATGTTCCGGTCTCGATGGCTGATGCTTGGCTTCCCGATGGCGCCATGTGTACCCCGGCGTTGCCTGCACGATTCTCTTTTACGGGGCTACGGTCGAAGCCGTCGTCGTTCTGTACCCAGCAGTTGTTAGATTTTGGTTTTGGTGCGGCTACTGCTTGTGGGCGACCCCGTAGACCACGAGCGATGGAAATGTGCACGTTTAATTAACCGAATGGTTTTCACTGCCGGCACCGTGCGTTTGATTCTGCGTACGCCTGCTTGTATTGCTTAAGATATTGGGAGCAATATCTTTGTATTTGCCCCCTTCATTATGCACGACGGTCGTCTCCCTACCATTGCTGGTAAACATTTAGCGCGGGTTTGTTTCCACGATGCGGCACAAGCGCGTATGCAAACGATCGAACGTCGCTTCGTGAACCAGGAGGGGAGCGGTGGTGCAGCGGTTAGTTCACCGCACTATGAACCCGGCCACCCGAGTTGAATTCCCGGTCACAGCCGACATCCGTGGCGAGTGACATCTGTGGACCGATGGCGAGATCCCCCTTTCACCACCCCGCACCGACCAGCGTGGTGAAGTATGGTCAAATAATGGCCATGAACTCTACACCGGTGAGAGCCTCTTAAACGTCATTGTCTCCTGTAGACTGGAAACCAAGGGAATGTGATGGTCGAGGGAAGGTGGTTTATATTTACATGGCCTCGTACTGTCATGGTCGGTGCCCAAGTTGACACTTGCCAACCTTGGTGTGCATAGCTTGGTTTTGCGCTGCAGTATAACATAGAAATTATTTCTTGACCTTTAAACACCGTTCCGAATTTACATTGAAACATATCCCCCAAAGTAAGCTGCTGCTGCTGCTGCGTGGCAATACAAGGCAGCTCTGCCGTCAAATTATTTCTGGAAAGGAAAAGCGTTTTAACAAGCTTATGCTGTTTATTTAAAAGTCGTTTTTTTTTGGGAAATAAAAAGTGAATGTTATTGCGCCAGCTGCTGAGAGAACGGACCGAGTGACTCACAGGGAGGGTGTGGGACAAGCCACCGTGACGTTGAAGGTTTTACCACAATTCAAATCTCTCGGCATGAACCTGTGAAAATCACGGAAGGAACTTGCAGTGAACAAGAACTCATTTGTGCTATTTCGTGGTCTACTGTATTGCTGCAAACTGGACGCCCAAACACGGTTCATGGGCGATCGCTCAGCTGGCCCCAGCAGACTTAACGTTTGACACTGGCCTTAAAAAGAAAAGGTGGATGATGCGACGTTTCGGGCAATGGGCCTTCTTCACGGCACACAGTGAGGGGACCGAGACGTGGATTGCCCCCCTCCCCCCCCACCTCTTGTGCTGCCTGAAACGTCATGTATTATTTACTCGTTATTTTAAAGACCACAGTGTTATTGATTAATGCGTTGAGAGTTTTTTGAAGTTGTGACTAGCCAGTGGTGCACAAGCAAATGCAGTGTCACCAAGCAATTTGAGCTGGCGGTTGTCGGTATTTTTCACACTGGTACGCCGCTCTGCTAGTTTTTTGCTCATGCTGTTACGGCCCTCCGGTTGTGTTTTCTGCTGCCTTTTGACTCCCCTTGCTGGCTTTGACGTCTGCGATGGTCATGGTTTGAGATCTTCGTCGTCGTGGCCTGCTATCATGGTCAGAATAATAACGTTTACGCCATCAAGATATCGACCTCAGGACTTTTGCCAAGGTCAACTCCTCCCAGTGACGTCCTGGGCAGGAGCCGTCCCACTTTGCCGGCCCCTGCCCAGGACACCGGCGTGCCCAGCGGTGGCGGTGGCAGGTGGTGGTTTACCGGGGCTCGTGGGAGCGCACTGCAGCGGCCGCTCCACCCTCGCGTGCCTGTGGTGATTCACCCGTGGTCGTCGTGTGCGAGTGTGTGAGAAACTCCCGCTGCGGTCGAGGCCGGTGCACGCGACCACCGCCGCTTTCCTCGAAAGAGCGTGGAGCTTTGTTGGCGACGGCACGGCGAGCGCAGAGCGAGCGTGGCCCGCGGCCTCCTCCGCACCTCGCCCACGCTCGGCCGACGCGCCCTCCATCAAAACTACACTCGGTTTATTTATACATTTGATTTTATCAGCATTGTGCACACACTACAATCTTTTTAACTTCTTCTGCTGCTGCTGCTGCTGCTGCTTGTATTCCTGTTGTGCTGTTGGCTTCGTGCCGTACATCGCGCAAGGCATTTATCAACTTGGAAGCAATTCAGATTTTTGCTTTCAGTTCCTGGCACATTGTTGTTGGAACGTTGCTGGATATTTATTTATTTCTGGATCGTCCTGGCAAAAAGTGAGGGTTGTGGGTGGCACTGCCATTGGGATCAAACTCTCGTGCCCCTGCCCAGCGGCGTCGCCACTGAGTGGCGCGGGTGGGGCGGGGGGGGGCCCTGAGGGGGGCTCTGAGGGGGGGGTCTGAGGGGGCCCCTCCCCTTGCGCCAGGGCCACGCCAGCCGCTCCGCGCCTCTGCCGGTGCCCCTCGTAGACTGGGGCGCTGCTGAAACGAGCGAGTTCCTCGTGCTGCATTCCATCGTCGCCGCTGGTGTTGGCCGGCGTGGTTAGCGGTTACCTCTCCACACTGCAGTGTTTCACTGTCAAACTTGGTAGCAAATAGCCCTCGGCAGTCTCAACAGAATAACAGGCGGACGTACCACTGTTTTACGTGTGTGTGTGTGTGTGTACGTGTTGCAGTGTCATTCCTCTCCTGCGAGATTCAATCGGCATCTTGATGCAAAGAACGCCGCCCAGCCTGGAGCCTGTGCTGCCTCAGTGCTACCAGAGGGTAAGACCCCCCCCCCCACTCCGCTTGCTCCTCCACCACTACGGCCGCCCCTCCTCCTCCCACCTGCACCCACGAGCGCCTCTCGCTCTCCTCCGCCCCCACGCCGTAACCTCTTCATCAGTTCCCTACGCTTGAGATGCGCTTCAAGTCCCCAGCTGGAACCGAGGAGGAACATCGTTTATCACGCCCGTGTGTTCGCGGTGGCGGCTGAACGCTTCGACGTTCGCTCTGCGATCCGCCAGTCGAGCACGCGCGTGACCGTGCGTGACCGTGCGTGACCGTGCGTGACCGTGCGTGACCGTGCGTGACCGTGCGTGACCGTGCGTGACCGTGCGTGCGTGACCGTGCGTGACCGTGCGTGCGTGACCGTGCGTGACCGTGCGTGACCGTGCGTGCGTGACCGTGCGTGACCGTGCGTGCGTGACCGTGCGTGACCGTGCGTGACCGTGCGTGACCGTGCGTGACCGCGCGTGACCGCGCGTGACCGCGCGTGACCGCGCGTGACCGTGCGTGCGTGACCGTGCGTGCGTGACCGTGCGTGCGTGACCGTGCGTGCGTGACCGTGCGTGCGTGACCGTGCGTGCGTGACCGTGCGTGCGTGACCGTGCGTGCGTGACCGTGCGTGCGTGACCGTGCGTGACCGTGCGTGCGTGACCGTGTAAGCCTACGTTGCTCCCAGCCACTGAGAATCTCCAGCTGGGCAAACGGTGTCCGCTGGCGCAGAGAAGATATCAAACATAAGTCTCTAAGCTTGAAAGACTTTTCCTGCTAATAAAGTATTAAAGCTTTCATGACTACATAAAATTACTCATTGGTTTTTTCGGTAAATACAGTTGGAGGGGGGGAGGGGCCAGAGCGAGAGCGGCAGCTCAAACACGCACATCTTACACATACAAAACGGCAGCTCAAAAAAGGACCACCTCTTGTGGTCCTTTTCTACATACGTGACTTTACCGAAAAAACCAATGAGTAATTTTATGCATCTTCTTTGGTTCTTTTGGTAAAGTCACGTAGAATGAGAATAAAATAATACATTTATTTGATCAATTTATTTTATCAATTTATTATTTTATTCTCATTCTACGTGACTTTACCGAAAGAACCAAAGAAGATGAATCCTTGCAGTCACGAAAGCTTTAAATCGAAATGTAATTTTATGCAGTCACGAAAGCTTTAATACTTTATTATCACACTTCTACGGGGAAGTTACTGTTGTAATTGTGTAAGATGTGCCCTTTTTGAGCTGCCGTTTTGTATTTACAAGAGGTGGTCATTTTTTGAGCTACCGTTTTGTATTTACAAGAGGTGGTCCTTTTTTGAGCTTCCGTTTTGTATGTGTAAGATGTGCGTGTTTGAGCTGCCGCTCTCGCTCTGGCCCCTCCCCCCCTCCAACCGCATTTCCTATTTAAGCTTCTGTTCATCCCTCCGCCCCCCCCCTCTCTCTCTGCCTCCCTGTCCGCCTTTCCTCCCTCCTTACCTCTTGGTGGACTTGTATATGTATTTCTACTGACCGTGTACCTCGTATTTTTTATTTTATCTATGCTGGTATGTGCAATCCAAAGGTTGAACACGAAATTTAACACTCTTCTGAAATTCGTGGTCCGCCAGGAAGTGTCTAACTGTGTTGTTGGCCTGTCTGGATGTGCTTCACATGTTTTTTCAGGTTTGTTGAATTCTCGTCTCTCATCTTCTCGTTGTATTTACCTCCGTGATTTGTTCTTGACACCTGATGAAGATCGCTTGCGTTGTGATCGAAACGTCGTGATTGTTTTTTGTTTTAATATAATTTTATTGTATTTCTACATACGTGACTTTACCGAAAAAACCAATGAGTAATTTTCCTGCTGTTGGCACGTCCCTTGACCTGCTGCATATTCAGGAAGTCAGGAGAACACTTCATTTGCCGATGACTGACAAACATAATATCGGCTGACGAAGCGGCGCGGTGGTGAGCATGCACCGCGCTCCGAACCCCGGCCACATGAGTTTGGCCCCCAGCAGTAGCTGACATGGGTGGCGAGCAGTGACTGAACCAACGTCAATTTCTAACCTGGTTACTCGGCACGAAGAGTGTCCATTAGGATGGCACACTGTAAAATAATTATTTTTTGAGCACCCTCATTCATGCCCTGGACATCTCGGAGCGCTTTACACCCGACAGGCAACTTGCATCTCATCTCAAACATTCAAAGAGCTATCCCAGTGGCCGCTGTCCCCGTGTGGCAGATGGTGACTCAGCACCTGGCCTGCAAGTGGGCATTAGTCTGCAGTAGGGGGCGCTATTTGCAGCTCTGTGTTATCCCCATTGAGTAATTTGTTATGATTGTACACGTGACCATGTGTGTGTGGGGAGCGGGGTAATGCAACGATTAGCGCAATGCGCCACAAACCCTGCAACCTGGGTTCGATTCCCGCTCACGGCCAACACTAGTGACGATTATTCGAACCAGTCCTGGGCCTCTCCTAGGTCGACTCGGCCTCTAATATAGAGTACCTGGTTTGATGTGTAAACACCGCCACTGGGGAGACGAAGGTCACCGAGCGTGGTGCTGGCCACTCGCCCCCTCGTGTGCCATTCCGGCCTTCACAGGTGCTTGCTATCAGCACTTGCCCCAACAGTCTGTTAAAGGTTATGCGGGGGATCTTTGTGTGGTGCAGGTGCAGCAGCTGCAAGGCGTGTACAGCATCACCGAGCCTCACTTCTGGACGCTGTGCAGCGACGTGTTCGTTGGCACCGTCAAGCTCCACGTGGCGCCGGACGCCAACGCCAGGTGGCTGCTGAGCCAGACTCACAGCATCTTCACGCAGGTGCGCTCGCTCACTCATTCACTCACTCGCTCGCTCACTCGCTCACCTGACTGCACCACGGCTCCTGCGTGAATGTGGCCGGAGTAAATCCAGGTGCTCAACGGAAACAGAACTACAATAAAACCCAATCCTTATTATGAAAAGTTACCTCGACACATTCGTCAATAACACTGCCCTTAAGAGGAAAAAATATCTAATAGGGCACTTAACGCAATGACCCTTCTCTGCTTTGTTGGACAGGGCCATTGCCATAAACCGTGCTGGGAATCAAACTCGGATCTCACGGTTGATGGCGCAGCCCGATAACCGAGGCGCAGCTGCACGTGTAAACTCGCGAATTGCCGTGTGGTTGACTTGTTTGTGTTTGTGTGTGCGTGTGTGCGCGTGTGTGTGTGCACGTGTGTGTGTGCACGTGTGTGTGTGCACGTGTGTGTGCGTGTGCGCGCGCGCGTATGCGCGTGTGTGTGCGCGTGTGTGTGTGTGTGTGCGCGCGTGTGTGTGTGTGTGTGTGTGCGCGCGTGTGTGTGTGTGTGCGTGTGTTCCAGGCTGGAGTGAGGCAGCTCTACGTACAAATCGACTTTGCTGCCATCTAGGCCTTAATTCTCATCCGCAAAGCAGCGGCTGCCCCCTTTTTAAATACCAAGGGACCAGAATTCATTTCTTTTAAATAATTTTTGTTGCGTCTTATTGATTGAACATGTTTAACCCTGTGCCATGAATCTTAAAATATATAAATATATTTAAAGACCATAAATGCATGGTGTTATTTATACACCAGTTGTACATTGTCTTTTTATGTGGGGCGCAGGGAATTACTTGGGACCTTATTTGCATTAATTTATATTGCTCCTAATGACTGTGGGGTGATAACGGTGGGACAGCGGTTAGCACAATGACCTATGAACCCAGCAACACGAGTTAAAGTCCGTGCTATGCTGTGTGTCCTAGAAACGTGCTGCCGAGCGTCGATTTTGTTGGCGTAGTCAAAGTGCCGATTTAGTTGAGACCGTCTTGCTTTCATGACCGATGCTGTGGCCTGTCTTTGCATCCCACGCAGGGCATGGCAAGGTGACGATGCCGGCCGGTCATCTCATTCAGCCAGACGCATAATTACCTTCTGAATGTGTTTATTTAACAACCTGTGTTTTAAATCGGTCATGAATTTACAGCAAGGAAAGCGGACTCTTGATTGTTTATAGTTTCGTGTTCAGATTAATGATTTTTATGTTATTTACAAAAGCAGTAAAGAGAAACTAGTTTTAAGAGTCCTGCGACCTGTCATATCTGCATCTCGCTGCGTTTGTGTCTGTGCTGCGTACCCGGGAATCACGTTTCTGCCTGCAAATGCAGCCAGTTGTTGTCCTGGTCTTCCGATGACGGTGTCCCTTCTCTCAAGGCCTGTGGGGGGTGCACACACGTGGCGGTTTTGCCAAACACACCTTGGCTTGGCGACATTGCCAAGGCTTTCAACAAGAACATTCTTGTTCTTTTGCCGAGTTGCGACCGAGCCATCTAGGGCCTTGAGAAGGCATTGACTGGAGCAGTGCTGAACTTTTACACCAATTTTTTTAAGCAATAAAAAACGAAACCACCCCCATCATTGCAGTGAAGATCTGGCTCGGGGAAACTTCCAAATGTTCCCACTCCACTTGCAACTGCTAGGGACCTGACTCGTGACAAACTCATGTTGACGAGTTGTCTTAATAGAAACACCGGCGTGGATTTTGATTGGCTCTGTCTTGCGTTATTGTCTGTGCCAGATACATGGTGCACGTTAAACTGACCCACGTGTGTGTTCGCGCTAGGGCTGAGAGAAGGAAGCGGTGTCTCTTGAAGCTAGGATACACAGGACGTAAGGGCCCTGAATGGATGAGCCCTCAATGTGAACAGGGAGGCTGGAATATCCGAGTTGCACCCTAAGGCGTTGTGAAACGTGTTTTCTGGATCCTTGTGGCGTCGCGATGTTCGGGCGTGCTCGCAACGCGCTGCAGCGTTTCTCTCGCAGCCTTGATGTCGCCACAGAGCTTGCGTGCAGCCTACAGCGGGGGCCATCCGCACGCCAATTAAAGTGTCCGGTGCTGCACGCAGACCAAGAAGAGGATTTAATGCGACCGCCTGACCAATAAAGACTGGCGCAGCAGTCGCGTGATCGCGTTAAAGAAAATCTAAAATCAAAATAAAGTTGCGTAGGGAAAGGGGGAGGAAAATGGTGTTACGCACTTTTGAATATGGTGCCGATGTCATTTTCAAACGCTTAGAATGCACCGAAACTTTGGACTTCAAAAGCTTAGCAGAATTGAGCCTTGATAGTGTTTTGATCTCTGACCACCATACTCAATAGCAGGTGTTGTTGGCTACATTGTTGAAAAAGGCAGTTTAGAACCAAATCCATTGTTTACAGTACTGTGCTCCCAACAGCTATGGCTCCCTGCCTTCAACCTTCAGTGACCGGCAAGGTGAAGTATGGTCACATAACTCTCGCTACCCACATGGAGTGTGTAGGCCCTCGTCCCGCAGTGAAGTTAACAAAAGGGCTGTACTTGTAGAGTGCAAGTAATCCTAAGAGTGCTTTGTACAGAAAGCAATACTTGATCGTTTGTCTTCGCTTTTCGGACATGAGCACCGTGCCAGTCACGTGGGCTTGATCCGAGGCCAGTCCTCGATGGGAAGGTCGTGCTGATTGTACTACGTTGAACTTCTTTCACATCGTACGTAGCCAATCGTGCTGATCGGAGGAATGCGTTTTCTCGCTTGATGTGTTTGCGGTAACAGCGTGGCTACAAAACGCTGCTCTTTAGCCACTTGTAAGGAGGGGAGTTGGGGCGGGGGGGGGGGCTTGATAAACCCATTCGACCTCGTCCACCGGAACCCTGTTCCAGTCTAAAAGTGTTTACCGAACGGGCCTTAACCGCACAGCGAGCTGCCCGCGTGGCTGCTGCCTGAGCTGCAGCGGAATCTGCCGTGAGACACCGGGATGGAGAAGACGTTTTCGACACGTGGTGGTCTCGAGGATAAATGTTGGTTACTTTATTGAATGCGTTCTCTGTTGCTGGACCGCTGTGAGATCCGCGTACTGTGCCCTGCAAAGATTCTCGAGAGGAGCGTGGCGTTACTCTTGGCATTTGTTTGTTTGCAGCCCGGTGTAACATAGGGGAAGGACTTTAAATTCCAATGCCATCGCTCGTACAATCCATATCTGGTTTTGAAACGTAAAACATTCAATCTCAACTCATTCATTTGTTAGGGTTTTTATTCGTGGCCCAGGGAAGTGGAATTGGAGATGGTGTGGGACCACGCTGCGACTGGCAGTGGTGTGGAGTGTTTGTGTGTAAAACCATGACCCTTGATCTCGGCCTTCCACAGAGACACGATGGACTTGTCGTTTTAACAGAGTTCTCGGTGGAACGATCATTTTTGTTGTTTGAGCGCGTCTCGGTGCACACTTGCAAACCTACACCATTCTTGGTGTATTTTACTGTTCTTGTTTACAAAATATTGTATTTTATTGGGCACAAGTACACATTTACATAAACTAACGCGAGAGGGAGATCTGCGTGTAAACCATCAAAAAAAATTAAATGTGAAGATTTTGTCATTTTAAACCTTTTTTTTCTTTAAAAAAAATCAAGATGTCAGCACTTTGCGTCCTTATTAAACATGTTGGAACGTTTTCAACTGTCCGATTGCTGTGCGTTCTTAAGCCGCCGGTACATCCTGAACGTTGCTCATTTTATAAGTTCGTATGTGGCACGCAAAGTGTCGTTGAAGTGACGATCTGTGGAGTGACGCGTGAATTGCGGTGTCGTCATTGCTGCAGTGGGAACGAGAGAGGACGCGGCACAGCCAATCCACTGCAGGTATTTGAGATGCCACGTGGTGATGCTGGACGGAATACGCCGCCGCAAAGATTTGAGTGCAGTGCGCGTCTCGTCAGCTGTCTCTCTCGCGAAGTGTTTTCGTCTCAAGCGATGTAAACCTTTCTCGAGCCGATTGGCTGTGTTGCTTGCAGACCAACGGTGCTGGCTGCCTGTAGCGAAATGAGGCCTTCGTGACCACTCGATTCACGTTATCGCGAAATGTTATCTCTACATTCCATTGTTGCATCTGCTTATTGTAGGTAAACTGAAAGTGAAGTCGTTAGAAATCGGGGAAAGAACTTCCTGTTTACGTGACAAACATTACTAATTGGCTGTGTCGGGTGGTGGCGGGTTTAACGACACCACATTTATATTAACGCGATCTCACCCAAACAAACCTCTTATGAACCTCCTCTTGTTAGTTTGGCAGACCCTCGCCCCGGAACGATACGCCACTGAGTTGCTGCTGCTGCTGCTGTGACTTGAATCGGTGTCTCTCTTCAAGACGAACACATTTCTTGCGGGGCTCCTCGGCGCAGTTTGTTCACTGTCTCCGTGTATTTCTTGAGATCTGAAAGAAAAAAAATCCTTCACTTTTAAAAAGGGACAAATTAAGTACGTGGGCCACATTTAGCTCGCTACGATGTCCATGCAGTCATTGGTGAGAGAGCATCGCTCGAGAACCTGGCTTCTTCACCTGAAGATTGTGACCCAGAGGCTGAACCCATGCGCGTTCCCTGGTGCTGAATTTGCTCAATTTCCAAATAGTTTTGTAAGGTAGCCAGCCATTCGTGAACGTGCCTTCTTACCAGATTACTTTTGTGCCCCTGGCTACCGTGCGGCCGGCAACAAACTTGTGACAATCTAGTTGAGCGACTGCACCTTGTGTCGGTGGCGGACCAAATCCGACATTGCGACGTCGCACACGGTGGACTTTATGGAAAAATCGTGACCCCCCCCCGCCTCCTTCAGTGGTGGATCCAAAGGGGTGGGAGGGGTGTAATGGGGGCGATCTTTAAGCCCCTCGAGACCCTGACGTTTTATTTTATTGAGAATTATCGAAGAAAATGTTGAATCTTTATTTTTCATGAATGTCGAGCCCTATTTAAAGGGCTTAATTTTGGGACCGCTCTCTCTGTGGAAGTTTCTCAATCCAACCTCTGATTTTTATGTAAATACCGTTTGCCAAATCTCTTTTTTTTTCTTTTAAAGAGTGTGTAACTCGTCGGTCCTTAGGCTAACAGTGAGTGTGTAAAACAATATAATAAACCCACGTGAAGCCACCACTGCTGTTGCTGTTTCTGTTACTTCCCTTTGCGGGTCAAGGGCACGTTGAGAGTGGGGCTGTGGAAGGCCACTTTCCAACTCCTGGGCACTTCGCGGCGAGCTATCGATTGTCTCCAGTAATGGAGTGCTGCTTTGAGGCAAAACGGCCTTTAAAAAGACAGACGTTTTCAATAATTTATTTTAAGTGCAGCGGTTCCACGCGGCTTAAGAGTTTGTTGGGGTCAGATGTTGGCTGGGTGGCGTGGGGACACGAATCCAAAGTCTTGCACGGGAACACTGAGCCACGATTGGCTGACAGCCTGCATATGAATCCAAAGCTTGCACCCAAGATCATATAAATAGTATTGTTCGTGTGTGGTAGGGTTGATTCTGTGTAAACCGATTCAGATAGCTGAGGGTAATTAACTCATTTGCTAGCAAGGCTAAGCTTTTCATGGTTTAGTTAGGATAGTCAATAACTACTACGAGTGAGAGAGTGTTTCTGCTCACACAAGGTCTGGGACAGCACTCATCGTTAGTGTTAACCAGCGGTGAAAGTTCCACATTCCTATAGCAGGACCCAAACGATATATAGTAGTACATGGAATAACCACTACAGAATTCCAAAGTTGTGCCTGTGTCATTGGCCACACGTGGATGGTGATGGGCCAGGTGTAGTTGTGCGTTCATCCGATGGGACTACGATCCATTGGTTGTCCAATGGACCCTTGGAACGGCAGTGTTGTCGTTTGGGTCTCTCCACGACGGTGGCACTGGGGTCGCTGAGGTTGACAGCTCCCTTGGTTTACGTCGATTTACACCCAGAAACTCCCGAGGAGTCGTCACTGCACGTGTTGCGTGCCACTATCGACTGCTGCTTGTCGGTGGCTTATTTTTTTACGAAGAGGACAACGATCGGCTTTGTGCCTGAATGCGAATGATGGCAAATCGGGATTACGGAAATTTGTGAGAACGGCGACATCAAAATTCATGAAAAACTCAGCAATTGCCGTTCATTAATTCGGCCAGGCAGGAGAAGGTCACGTCTGTTATCAGATTTCCGTGCTGCCGCTATCGGCTACCGGTAACAATGCCGTGCCACACTCGCACCGAACCCGGTGTGCGAGAGCCCAGCGGCGCTCCTGAGTGTGACCGTTCAACACCGGTGATGCCAGCCGTCCCCGATGCCCCTTTCGGGGCGAGCGCTTCCCAAAATAAATGTGCGGCCGTAACGACGTCGTCAACCTTCGTCTACCTGCGCGCTACTCAGAGGGGCTCTCTCTGGCACGTGGCGGGTGGGGAGATTTCTCGTGGCCCTTCGGTGCGGCGCTGCTAGTGCACGCGATCCGTGAGTCACCGCTGGAACAAACCGCGCCACGTGCCGCCGTCGCCGCCGCCACGCGCCGTGGGCACGTCACAAGAGTGAGTCAGCGCCGTCCTTGCAGTCGCTGATCCGGCCACACGACTGATGTTGGGTTCTCAAAGGCAGCTTTGGCAGTGGAGCAGAGCGAGCTTCGTAGTGTGTGTGCGCGCGTTCGGTTTGTATCGTCGGTTGGTCCACCGTGATGTCCGATGTTTCACTCCACGCATCGGAAGCTCAGTTCCCCACAGAGGTTGCCGGGTACGTGGAGCGAAACGTCGGACAGACGTCGCGCCGAATCATCCAACAACGCAACCCAAACACACATTGGACAACTCAACTCCGCTCCACTCGCGAGTTGACTTTGGGAAGCCCAAATCATGGCCGAGAGCCCCGACCGTGAATTGGGTTCCTGCACAAGCTGCCAGCACGTGGAGCTAAAACGTCGGACGTCGCAGCGACCAACGCGGGGTACGACACGAGGACGCACCGGAGAGATGTACATCACGACCCGCAAACACCTACGCAGTCCGTGTTGTTCGAGTTCAGTGCCGGATTAGGCTCAGTGCGGGGCCTCTAGCATATGTTGTAATAAAGGGGCCATAAATAAAAAACACACAAATATTAAAACACAAATGTTTAACTTGCAGACTAAAGTAATTGTATTTTTTCACTTGCTGTACTACCAGATATTTACAACAAATCGCTAACCTTAAACGCCCAGTCGTTCGTAAAAGTTGAAGGCGGTATAGTACTATAGTGATAGAGCAAGTGCAGAATCACTGAACCGGAATTGTTAGCTTGAAATCATTTAGCACGGGGCTCTTGAAAGTGCGGGCCCGTAGCTACTACATGTGTAGCTACTTCTGCTACGAGGATAATCCGGCACTGTTCGAGTTGCATTCGAATGTATTCGCCAGCGTGAGTTTTCCATGTTTCCCATGTTTGCCATGTTTGCGCGCACGCCGAGTACGACGCCCTGCACACATCCGTGTCGTCCTTCCCCGCACCTCCGATTGGCGCGGTTGGCTACGTGCGGTGCGAACGAAGTTCAACATACACACACACACAGTAGTGTGAAAAAGTCCGAAAAAGAGACCACGTCAAAGTCCCCGAAACGGAAATGTAGCAGCAATAAAACTCATCACATTCGTCAATCACACTGCGTGGCCTTCAACAGGCAACATATACAACGGTCGAGGTTTCGGGCAATGGCCCTTCTTCGTGGGACAGTCCATGAGCAGGGATTCTTCTTCTTCCCACAATCACGAGTCGCCAGTGTGAGCAGGTGAGTTTGCTCGGGACAAGGGAGCCGGGACTCAAGGACACCACCGGTAATGTCGAGCCGTGGTTGTGTAATTTGCTCTCGACTGAAGCATCTCTCGATTGCTTAGACGAAGGGTATGAAGCATCCTATCGCAAGCCCGATCTCTAACGTGACGAGGGCATTCTGACATTTCACTTGAAATGGTTCGCCAGCAATACAAAAAAAACGATGTTTGCACGCTCCGTTATTTCCCCGTGACTCAGAGCGCGCCGCCGCGCTCCTGGGGGCAAGCGAAGGCTGCCTCCATCCTCGGGCGGCCCGGCAGAGAGGAGGTGACTCGGGGCATCATCCCCGCAGTGGACGTCTTGGTCACCCGCATCACTCGGCTCCAACGTCGCGATGTGGCAGGGCTGCTGCTGCCTGCTGTAGAGAGTTGTAGGTGACGCCTGCTGGGTTGGCGTGGCAGGGCTGTTGCTGTCTGCTGTAGAGAGTTGTAGGTGATGCCCGCTGGGTTGACGTGGCAGTGCTGTTGCTGTAGAGAGTTGTAGGTGACGCCTGCTGGGTTGACGTGACAGGGCTGTTGCTGTAGAGAGTTGTAGGTGATGCCCGCTGGGTTGACGTGGCAGTGCTGTTGCTGTAGAGAGTTGTAGGTGACGCCTGCTGGGTTGACGTGGCAGGGCTGCTGCTGCCTGCTGTAGAGAGTTGTAGGTGACGCCTGCTGGGTTGACGTGGCAGGGCTGCTGCTGCCTGCTGTAGAGTTGTAGGTGACGCCTGCTGGGTTGACGTGGCAGGGCTGCTGCTGCCTGCTGTAGAGTTGTAGGCGATGCCTGCTGGGTTGACGTGGCAGGGCTGTTGCTGTAGAGAGTTGTAGGTGACGTCCGCTGGGTTGACGTGGCAGGGCTGTTGCTGTAGAGAGTTGTAGGTGACCCTTGCTGGGTTGACGTGGCCGGGCTGTTGCTGTAGAGAGTTGTAGGTGACCCTTGCTGGGTTGGCGTGGCAGGGAGCTGTTGCTGCCTGCTGTAGAGTTGTAGGTGATGTCCGCTGGGTTGACGTGGCAGGGCTGTTGCTGTAGAGAGTTGTAGGTAATGCCCGCTGGGTTGACGTGACAGGGCTGTTGCTGCCTGCTGTAGAGAGTTGTAGGTGACCCTTGCTGGGTTGACGTGGCAGGGCTGTTGCTGCCTGCTGTAGAGAGTTGTAGGTGATGTCCGCTGCGACACAAACCCCCCCACTCGGTGCTACTTTTGGGGTTCACCGGACGGGCCGTCTCTTCGCCCCATTGCTTTGCTCTGATCTCTCTCTCTCTGTGACCCACGTGCGTTCTCAAGCACGCTGGCAATCATCGTCTTAATTCCATTGAACTCTGTCCATGATTTTACTCAATCGCTTTGCATTAAATTAGCCCAGTTACAGCCAGTTGCTCTACATCTCTGATAGCAAAATTAATCTAGATTTGAAGTTTTCGTGACTGCATGGATCCATACTGTTTGGTTCTTTCGGTAGTCACGTGGGTATAAAAATAAATAAATTAAATCACGACGTTTCGGGCGCAACACTGACGCTTGTGTTGCGCCCGAAACGTCATGATTTTATTTATTTTATTTTATACCTACGTGACTTTACCGAAAGAATAAAAGAGTAGCAAAATTAAAATTTGACTGTTCATGAGGTCCATGTACTACGTACGCAAATTAAAGTTCTGTATACGATATTAAATATATTACAGTTGTTAGCTTTCAAGGATGTTTAAGGTTAGTTTTTGGATGGACAAATTCGGGTTATCATTCGTAAGCCATTGTGAGTGCTGTCTCAGCAGCGGCCACGATGCTTCGCCGGGTTTATACAGGACACACATTAACGCTTTGCATTGGCTTCATTTTGATAGAATATATAAAAACATATATATTGTTTTATGTTATTCCGCTTCAGAAGCCCGTCACGGTGTGATGGAGTGCTGTTGATGAAAGCTGTGTTTATTTTTCGAAACGAGGGAATGTCTGGGTCGTGTTGCTGTCAACCCGCCTGGCTGTTTTTTGTTCGTCCGTTCACAGCGCCTCGAGAGGGCTGTTTCCCTGCCATGGCGAGTCGGCCACTGGCATTCCCCCCCCCCCCCCGTCTCAAAGAGATTCAAGCAAATGATTCTCGCTACAAATGTGGGTAATATCAAGGTGGTCGGTGTTGATCACATTACCGAAAATCACCTGAAAATGCCCGTACTGCAGTTGAAAACATCTGCGTACATTCCTTTAAAAAAATACGACTTTTATTGTTTCGGTAATTGTAAAAAACAAAATGAAACACGACGCCTTCCTATGTGTATTGCGCATTTACATATTGACCGCGAATACCTCCAATGCTCATTGAAGGTGCCTGTTGAAGAGTCACTGTGGCTCA